TTTTTATTGTAATTTCTCATTGATAACACGTATTAATAAAAGCTCTAAAAAAAGTTATCGTTTGTGGACAAATATTACTACAAAATTGTAGCGACTTATAAATAAATTCACCAGATCTTTGAAAAAGTAATGTTTATTCATTGAAAGTATAAAGCGAAAGAACAAAAAGAATTAATATGTAACAAATAAATGAATGAATGTGTTGTTATGGAAATATTGATTTTTCTTAAAAACATTATGTATATTAATGAATTGAAGTTATTACAAATGTATAAAGATGTAAAAAGTGTAAAAGTGCAGTGAAAAGTGTAAGGTGTAATAAAAATGTAGAGTGTAAATGAAAGGTGTGGATGATGAATGCTACAGTACTCCCCCCAAGTGACGATATTCGTTGCGAAATGGACTTTCTTCTCTCATTATTTCTTTAAATCTCTTCCTGCCTATCTCATCCCATATTCCCTCCACTCTCTTTTTCTCTTTCCCTTATCCCTCTCTCTTCCTTCCCTTTTATCCACGCTACCACCGGATGATGATCTGAATCTACCTGATCTTCTACTGTTATTTTTTCTATTTTTTCCCTTGTCTCCTCCGACGTTATTATGTAATCTATCACTGTGTTTCCTCTGGCTTCTGTAAAAGTAAACTCCCCCTGCTCATCCCCCTTCATCTTTCCGTTTAAGATGCTCCATCCTTTTTTCCCAGATAATTTATCAGCACTTTACCCTCTCTGTTAACCTTTCTATCTTTTGATTTTCTATAAATATCACAGTTACTTTTCATGGTAATATATTATTACTAAATTTAGATACTATACACTTTACGTATGTTCACTTTGAACTGGCACCTTGAATAACATATCAGTTACTTTTCGTGATAATTTATTATTAGATCGTTTAAATTTTGAGTACCTTCTTTTGAACATGGCCTGACCTTTTCATTTTTATGATTTTTTTAGGATATCACTTACTTTTAAAGTACAGATATATAGAGCAGCTTTCTAGTAATTCAAGTATCACAATATATGTATTTTTGATTCTTATCACATAACTTTGTATAAGTAACAATTTATGCAATACAGTTCAAAATAATTGAAATATATGGTATATATGTACATATATAAAATATATAATTATATTATAGTATACATATATATTTATTTAATCATATATGTAAATGTTTGTATAATTGTAATAACTTTTAACGATACATTGCACATTTATTTCAATTGCAACAGAATGAATTTATATTCTTGTATGAATATTGAAAATAAAGAATGAGCTTCTCCATCGCCCATTCTCGTGAGAACGCAACCATATATTTTCTTCGTCTCTCCGATTTTAACACGACATACATATTTCTGTCTGATAATTTTTTTTCTGGATGATACTTTTTGAAATGTCATGAAGCCTAGGTCAAATTAGAAACTTATTGCACTCGTTTTAACGCAGCGCTTACAGCAGCTTTTATAAAGCGCCAGAGCAGCCGATATTTTATTTTGGCGCTTACGGCAACTTTTATACAGCGCTAGAACAGTTGATGTTTTAATGTAGCGTTTACAACAGTCTTTATACAGCGCCAGAGCAGTCGATGTTTCATTTCGGCGCTTACGGCAGCCTTTATACAGCGCCATTATTTAATCTGTTCTAAGAACAATATGTATGCCCCTTGTGCTCCTTTGGGCCATTTTTTCTTGAACACTTCTATATCATTAGAGTAATACCATTCCGATTTTGTGTCAGCTCTCAACATACACGTGTAGTGACCACGATTCATTTCTCCACCTTCGTGAAATAGCTATCGATCTCGACGACGAGAAACTTCAAGAGCTTCGATTCTTCGTAGCAAATCCGCGAAATCCGAAGATTTATTACTTGTATTATTGGAAACTTCCGCAACTTGCAAACCGCCGTCCCGATCAGCAATTTTATCGGCTAATTCCGCAAGTTTAATAAAAGGAACATCCTCTACTACGGCTAAAGTCGTTTGAATTCTATGTGGTAAGCGTTGAAGCCAAATCATTTGCAAAACACTATCTGCTAAAGATCCTCCAGATAAATGACGAATTTCTCGAAGTAATTCCGAAGGCTTTTTATCATTAAGTTCAATTCCAGCTAATATTTGTCTCAAACGTTTTTCTTCTGAATCCGTAAAGCGATTTATTAATATTTTCTTTAAATAATTATATTTATCTGTTTTAGGTGGATTTTCAATGACTTCAGATATGTTTACTAAGGCTTGTTCATCAAGATGACGAATGACAGAACTATATTTAATATCATCTGATCGAATTCGATAAACCGTAAACTCACTTTCAATAGAAGCAAACCAGAGTTTAGGTTGTTTATGCCAGAAAGTCGGTAGTTTTAATAAACGAAACTCATTTGAGTGAATTTGTAACATAGGATCACTCACCTGATGTCCAGTTTGAGAAGGTAAAATATTAATATTTTCTGATCCAACCTGATTTGATCCGCTCGCCAAATCCATATCAATCTGTGTATCCGAGCAGGGTCTAACTGGTGATCTATCGATTGGCATTTTCCTCTTGTTCCAGGAATCCGATAAAATGATTTGAGAATTTCCGTGAAGGACTAATCCGCCTCTGATGTTTCAAAGATCCGGAGAATGAATCTCTTAAAATCAGAATATCCAGCAATTCTTCCAAGCGATGATAATATTTCGCAGACTTCAAATACGACGATCACTTGGCACTTATTCTGCATCAGCCTTTAAAATGCGTCGGCTTTAATATCACGTCGGCTTTAATATCACGTCGGCTTTAATATCACGTCGGGGTCACCAAAAATGTAGCGACTTATAATAAATTCACCAGATCTTTGAAAAAGTAATGTTTATTCATTGAAAGTATAAAGCGAAAGAACAAAAAGAATTAATATGTAACAAATAAATGAATGAATGTGTTGTTATGGAAATATTGATTTTTCTTAAAAACATTTGTATATTAATGAATTGAAGTTATTACAAATGTATAAAGATGTAAAAAGTGTAAAAGTGCAGTGAAAAGTGTAAGGTGTAATAAAAGTGTAGAGTGTAAATGAAAGGTGTGGATGATGAATGCTACAAAATACGGCGACGCGCAAATCCAATTTGACAGTTCGTCAGCTGATCCGAACCGAAGCACGTGTACGAGCGAGTGTGAGTGAGTGTGTGGTTAATTAAACGCAGATTGATTCGAAATCAAATTTCTCGGCTAATTTCTCGTATAATCTAAAATCTAAGCACTGCGGAGAGGTTTGATTTAATATGTTTTGATTTTACAAAATATAATTAATATTAAAAATGTAAACGCTGAAAGAGGGAACATTTTTTCAAAAATTTTTGTCAGAGATTTCTTTTGAAGATTTGGCTTCGAAAATTTGTCGAAAAATTTGGCATTACATTGTCCGACGACAGTATCGAGTCACTTTGTATGCGTATCTTCTTTCAGCGACTGTCGTTTATCAACGTTATATCCGGTAGACGCGCGGTGGAAGCCTTGCAAAATGCTGTGAATGTTTAACAGCATCAGACCACATAATAGATGTATCGCCGTTACGTGCTTCAAACATATTTCCGCTTATCGTCGGTTTTAAAAAGCGTGTTCGTATCGTATACCAATAACGTTGATGCTTGACGGTTTTAAAATTAGAAAATATGAGTAAACTGTCGATAACGGGATTGTCTGCGAAAACATTCATATCGATTCTTATGTAACGCAAAATAACAAGATTATTTAACAACAACAATGATCGATGCATTAGTAATTCCTGTATATTTATATATTATATTAAGTTGATTAATGTGAGAGGTAAGGAAATCTATATAAAGAAAGGCTGATCGATAATTTAACAATATCTCATATATTATATTAAAGGAGATGAAAATAAAAGAAGGACGAAGAATATTTCTGAAGAGATAACGTTATCATATTTTGTTTAAAAATTACGCTAAGTTGATAAATCAATGAAAATTAAAGATTTAACAATCGTGAAATCACAGGACAAGTTTGAGAGAGAAATAGTTCGATGTATAGGATAAAAATTTATCAAGCACAATACAAATTATTACATAATTTATATTATAGTTAAAACTATTCGTCGAGTTATATTATTACAAAATTATTTTCTGTTCGAGCTAGTCGCTCGATATCACGAAATGCCGGGCATATTTCGGGCATATATCGAGTTCTACATAGTTTACCTGGCAAAATATCTATTGTCAATTGGATATTTTTTTTTTGTTAAACCACGAGTTGAACGAGCCTTGCCCCTCTCAACCATAATTAGAATGCATTTTATCAGGAAATAAATTGAAAAGTTAACGAATCGTATCACGAAGGCGAACATCATCGGTGGAAAATTGCGATAGACCTTTTAGAAACTCGCTGTGCGATAATGTAAGAGTAAACATGCCCTTCACTTACTCCTATAAGACGAAGCAGTGACTTTCCTAAGCGATGCGTTTTCCCTACGACCCTGAATTATTAATATAAACGCTAGTACACAGATTATATAAAGGTATACACAGTAACTGACGTGCAGACACTCCGTTTACTTTAATCGTGGCGTAAATTATCTCGAGTAACGCGTATCTCTGTTACATGCAAAACAGCTAAACTTGTTTAATTATCCCCCAAAAGTAATAAGGATTCTCTCTAATCTAAAGTTTTCGTTTAAATTTTAATGACTTATTGCAATCTCCAGACATTAAAAATGTAATAAAAAAAATACATTTTTAATATAACATCTCTTGCAACATACATATTTCCGTATTTTAATAATTGTACATTGTTTAAATATATAACTCTGTACTTGCATATTGAATTATAAATTTTACATATTTTTGCTCGCGTTTGCCTTTTTGTAATTCTAACTTTACGTAAAATATTCTAAAGATAAAACTAAACTTTTGCGTCGCGTAAAGATAAATATAATTAAAATAACATTTGATGCCAAATGATAATTAAGAAAATTTTCCCAATTTAAAAAATGTACCACATCTTATTTTTTCATTTCCTTCGGTCCTTTGTTTGTCCCTTTATTAATTTTGCGTGATCAAACTTACTTGCTGTTATACATTAATCGCCACTATTGTTAAAAATGATAATAAATATATTTGAATTGTCTCCTAAAATTGAAGGAGTTAATAAAACTTGACACGGTTTTGGCTCTTCTTCGTACACGACTGTATACATATATACTTAATAACGCTTATCCCGCCGGGCCCGTGCACGAGATTTCCACTTCTTAGACGCGGATCTTTAACCCCTTCTCTCCCTGTCTCTCTTTTTGGATTTGGGAGGGAGGGATCCTGTAGTTATTACCAAGACTTGAGGGGGGTTGATCGATAACCTATTTTTCCACGGTTGGCGTGGCGCCAGAATTCCTGGCGAGTGGCTGCTGACTCTTTGACATCGCAAACAGTGTAATCCCCGTTCTCGGGATAGGTCACGAATGTTTCCAAATCCCGACAAGGTTTCACGTGGCATCCAAGTCAACTAAAACAACGACAGCGCGAGATCTTGATGACCACTGTGATGACCTTCCGCATCTGGAACCGCGTAATATATTTTAATCATTTAACAGACAGAAAAATAAGTATAACGGTGAACATTGATAACATTCTGCCTAAATTTACTTTTATATTATTCTTTTAAAAAAGTTATATTTAAAATTTTTTTAATACAATTTACGAATTTATTTTTTTACATTTGTGCCGAAAGGGAGCAAGCGTATTTAACGCTTAATGAGTTTTTGTGTACTATAGCGAGAGTTGTAGTCTATATGTAACATATGTATATATAAATTCTGACGTCACTATATTCAAAATATTTTTTGCACTTTTTAAATTTATTTCTAACATTATCTAATTGATATCTCTTGCGTTGTATTATCGCTTTTAATAATCGCATTAATTTATCAAATGTTTATTACTTACATTTATATGACATTCCTTATATTAGATGCAAGCCTTTTTGTGAATGTTTCCTAAGAAAAATTTGAGAACAATTTTAAAAATGTTATACAAAGATAATTGCAATGTTTTAAATATTTATTAGTAATAAAATAACAATACAACAATGAAATGAATGTAAAATAAGATATACATTGTTGTAATAATCTCGTTTTTTTCTGTAATTTCTACAAAAATAGTTCAGTATTCGATGAAAAATATGTTTAATGCGGAAAAGAGTTTTATCGCTTAATATCTTTATTTGAAAAGATAACTCTACGTTTAACGATTTTTGTCTAAAATAAGAATTTCAAGAAAATAAGTTGTTATTAATAAAAATTTAATTTTTGCCGTGTAAAACAAAAGTATACCTACTAATGTTGTAAACATTAATAAATTAAAGCATATACATACATGTATGCAGAGTGTAACATCTAACAACTATGCAAATATTTTGATGAATATGTTCCAGATAAGCCAAAGAATGGCAAAAATAAGCACAGTTTTAAATATTTGGTGTGTCCAGTAAAGCCTGAAATTCATAATTTTATTTTTAAGAGAATTTAATCTTTATATTTAAAATTAGATGATTAAAAAAATTACCTGTTATAATTGATACGACTGATTTCCAAAGTACTATCATCTTCTTTTAATAGATAAAGACGTATGCCTTTATGATAATCAATGAGATATTTTGCCCAGTCAAGTTCCCTTATGTTGAATGGATATATTTGCTGATCCTCTTTATTTAAGTTGTTCCACAACATTTGAACGTTATTATCGCTGAAATTCCATTTATTTGTGCAAAAATGTGCTATTGCTTTAGAAATTTTGTGAATTTTGCTATACAATTTCCACATCCTAAAATATATATATAAAGTTATTATGACTCTCTCCTTGTGTTTTATATAAAGTCATTTCATTCAGTTTTGAGATAAACTATTAGATATGTGTAATCAAATAATCGATATTCGATTTCATGTTTCTACAATACCTCGGACGGCGGCCCACACATATCCTCATGCCATCCACAAGAAAGGCCGGAAGCAAATGACACAGCCAAATGCAAATTTTATATGGTATCTTTTGTGGTATTAAAAAAATAAATGGTAACCATATGGAATCTTTTAAGGATATATTTGATTTCTGTAAAGCACCTTAGTGATGTATTCTTTCCAAGTCGGTGCATTAACCGACACATAATTGTAAATCAACGTATCATTGCCTTTCCTATAAAAATTAAAACATGTTTCTTAAAAACCGTCACCACCAATCAGAAGCCACGCAAATTTCTATGTTGCTATTTATTAGACATTTTAATTCTGAATTTAATTGCATTTTTAATTATAGATGTAGATTTTTCTTACAGACATACATGTATACATTCTGCTTCGAAAAAAAAACAAGTTTAACTAATCTATTAAACATTTGTATATAGAAAAAAGATTAAAAAATCATGCTTAACGCAAGCAGTGTGAATTTATCATGTTCATAAATTACATGTTTAAGCTAGGTTTTTTTCCGACCCAGCATAATCATGCAATATTGATAATTACATAGAAGATTACAGATTGTATATAATTTTATATGAAATATATTCTTAAATCAAAAAGTGCTAAATGTAAGGCCAACTTATCGAGTTGAATATTCGAGTTGTTCAATCAAATGACATTTATTTCATATATAAATTATAAAGTTACAATCATTGAATATTAAAACTAACGCAAAAATACAGTCATTTTAAAATAAACGTTTCAACCGCACGCGGTTTTCTTCAGTACATTGTTAAATATAAAATCATAAAAGAATTCATATAATGTCAAAATTAATTCTAGTTCTTCAGAGTCGAGAGTTTATGAGCAGTTAACGCGTGTTTTCTACACACGATGGAGTAAAACACGCGTTAACTGCTCATAAACTCTCGACTCTGAAGAACTAGAATTAATTTTCGACATTATATGAATTTTTTTATGATTTTATATTTTAACAATGTACTGAAGAAGACCGCGTGCGGTTGAAAACGTTTATTTTAAAATGACTGTATTTTTGCGTTAGTTTTAATATTCAATGATTGTAACTTTATAATTTATATATGAAATAAATGTCATTTGATTGAACAACTCGAATATTCAGCTCGATAAGTTGGCCTTACATTTAGCACTTTTTGTTTTTCAATATACGAGCGAAACTTTGTATCAATTTATATTCTTAAATATTTTCAAGATTAAAAATTTTCACTGAACATGTAATTACATATAGAAAATGTTAGGAATGTATAAATGCTATAAAATAATGTTATAAATAAAATAGATAAATACTTATAAAATAAAATTTAATAAAGTAAAAATAGTAAATTTAAAATTACATATGATTTTTGCATAAAAATAGTAATTTACCTATATTTTACATGTATTTTTACATTAATATGTATTTTCACTTTAAAACATATGGAAAAAAATTACAGTGATAAGCAAGTAACTTTTCCAGTTCTGAACTAGTGATTTCCATGTAAAAGTACATGGATTTTTTTTAGTGTATGTCTGTTCTTTGATGATACTTGATCATACCTGTATTGATTAGAGATCCCAGCACTAGCAATTAAAAGCATTTACAGTAGATCAACAGGGACCAAGTTTGCCGGAGTATCGGGATCGCATAATTGAAATCTTGTGAAACCGAGTAAGACAGATAGTGTACTTCGACTGGTCCATACAAATTTTCACCCCATCCGACAATCGGTTCGCTAGCACTTGGGCAAACTGAAAAAAATATTGATTACTTTTTTCAAAAAAACTTAAGCTTCATAGTAATTTGCAATATTTTTTGTGGCTTTATGTTATTATTTTAGAATATTATTTTCTTGCAACAGTACTATAATAATAATTATTTATTATAAATTGCATTAATCATAATATTGTATATCCATAAAAAGTATTCTTTTGGACATGTGTAATGTGTATTTTATATGTTAAGGTAATCTTCAGATTATGATAAATCTATGATAGCATTTCTTAATTTGCATAATATCTATTTTGCATATATTTGTTATATAC